AACTAGGAAAAAAGAGAAATTTAATTAAATTTGTTAGGTTTATATGAAAATTTGGAATGCATAGAAATTTAGCTTTTTAAACTGATTATAAACTTAATTAATTAGTAGAAAGAAATTATAATTTAAAATGTGAAATCAATATAAAGTCATTTCATTGATTTCATTTAATCTATTGAAATAAAATGAAATATATTCCAATAAATACGATTAAATAATATTAAATTAGTAATGAAATATTTTCATGCAAAAGAAATTAAACAAAAAAAAAAAATGAATCATCAAAGGATATCATATTAAATTTGAATAAAGTATTTTGTAAAACAGTGATAGTTTTAAACCATTCTTGCAAATAAAATTAAATTTTAATTCAAATTTAAATTTTTATTATTAGGAAAATGCTGCAATTTGTACTAGTTCCTTTATACAAAACTAAAAAAGAATTCTGGCAGATTTCAATTGAATTAAATGTTTAAGCTACTAAAAAATATAATTCAATAAGAAAAAAGGACATAATTTGAACTTGATTATTTTCTATGTTCTGTATGGTCACTGGTCACACTCGGTGTGGTCAATTTTCAACTTAGAAAAATATAAATTAAACTTTAATAATTGAGTTTTAAACATTATTTCAGCAGCAAAATTAATAAAATTTTAAAATAGATTATAAACTTGATCTGCTTGACTGTTTTTGATATTTTATGGTAACTTTAGACTTTAAAAGTTAACTTTAAAGCAAACTTTCATTGCAGAAATTAATCAAATCTGCATTTACAATTAATTTCAATATTTCTTAAATAATTAATCACAAATCCAGATAGGGATACTTAAGAAATTTCGACAGATTTTAAAAGCTTTATTAAATCGAATATTAAAAATGTTTTAATATTTTCTTTATAATTCTGTTTCAATTAAAATCTGCCAATGCTGGAAAAATATAATTCATTTTAAAATGAATATTTCGAACTTAATGACTTTGTATAATTTAATTAGAAAAAAAGACATGATTTGAACTTAATTGAAAACTTTCTATGCTCTGTATGGTCACTGGTCACACTCAGTGTGATCATTTTTCAACTTAAAAAATTTTAATATTGGAATTTAAACATTATTTCAGCAGCAATATTAATTAAATTTTTAAATAGTGATAGTTTTAAACCATTCTTGCAACTAAAATCAAAATTTTATTTCAAAATTATGTTTTAATTATTAGGAAAATGCAGCAATTTGAATTAATTCTTTTATATAAAACTAAAAATAAGTTCTGGTATTAGCAAATTTCAATTTAATTAAGTGTTTAAGCTACTAAAAACTCTAATTTAATTAGAAAAAAAGAAATAATTTGAACTTTATTCATTATTTTCTATGCTCATTGGTTACATTCGGTGTGGTCATTTTTCAACTTAAATAATTTTAATAATTGAGTTTAAACATTATTTAAGCAGCAAAATTAATTAAATTTTTAAATAGTGATAATTATAAACTATTCTTGCAATTAAAATTAAATTTTAATTCAAATATAAATTTTTATTATTAGGAAAATGCTGCAGTTTGAATTAGTTCTTTTATATAAAACTTAAAAATTAAAACTTTTAAAATCTGTCGAAATTTCTTAAGTAATCCTATCTGGATTTGTGACTAAAATTAATATTTAAAAAATATTTGAAATCAATTATAATTGCAGATTTAATTAATTTCTGCAATGAAAGTTTGCTTTAAAGTTAACTTTTAAAGTCTTATTAAATTATAATTTTTAGTAGCTTAAACATTTATTTAAATTGAAATTTGCTAGAACCAGAACTTATTTTTAAGCTTTATATAAAGGAACCAATACAAACTGCAGCATTTTCCTAATAATAAGAATTTAAATTTGAATTCAAATTTAATTTTAATTGCAAGAATGATTTAAAACTATCACTATTTAAAAATTTAATTAATTTTGCTGCTGAAATAATGTTTAAAACTCAATTATTAAAGTTTAATTTTTTATTTATATTGAAAAGTGACCACACCGAATGTGACCAGTGACCATACAGAGCATAGAAAATAATCAATTAAGTTCAAATTATGTCTTTTTTTCTAATTAAATTATGTTTTTAAGTTTTTCAAACACTTAATTAAATTGAAATTTGCCAATACCAGAACTTGTTTTTAAGTTTCATATAAGGGAACTAATACAAATTGCAGCATTTTCTTAATAATAAAAATTTATATTCGAATTAAAATTTAATTTTAATCGCAAGAATGATTTATAATTATTACCATTTTTAAATTTAATTGATTTAAATTGGATTTTATTTCAAATTTAAATTTTGATTTTTTTAAAAATTTAAAAATTTGTAATTGTTTTCTTACATTAAACAAGGAAATTTGTTCTAAATTACCAATTTTAATTTTAATAAAGTGCCAAAACTACTAAAAATAGCAATATTTTGAACTTAATTGAATATATTATTTAATTCTTAAATTGAATTGAAACCATGATTAATTGAAAGTTTTATTAATTTTGCTGATGAATTTTTACGTAAAACTCAATTACAAAAGCGTATTTTAATATTTAAACTATAAAATGACCACACAATAAATGACCAGCTCTGGTACAATGCATAAAACATAATCAATTAAGTTCAAAAATAATAAATCATTCTTGCAATTAAAGTTAATTTGTAATTCAAATTTACATTTTTATTATTAATAAAATGCTGCAATTTGTATTAGTTTTTGTATATAGAACTTAAAAGTAAGTTCTGGTTCTAGCAAATTTCAATTTAATTGAGTGTTTGAACTATTAAAAAATATAATTTAATTTGAAAAATACATGATTTGAATTTAATTGATGGTTTTCCATGCTCTGTATGGGTACTGGTCACATTCGGTGTGGTCACTTTTCAATTTAAATAATTTTAATAATTTAGTTTTAAACATTATTTCAGCAGCAAAATAAATTAAATTTTTAAATAGTGATAGTTTAAAACCATTCTTGCGGTTAAAATTAAATTTTTATTATTAGGAAAATGCTGCAATTTGTATTAGTTTTTGTATATAGAATTTAAAATTAAGTTCTGGTTAGCAAATTTCAATTTAGTTAAATGTTTCAACTACTAAAAAATATAATTTAATTAGAAAAAAGACATAATTTGAACTTAATTGATTATTTTCATTGCTCTGTATTGCACTGGTCACATTCGGTGCAGTCATTTTTCAACTTGAATAATAAATTAAACAATAATAATTGAATTTTAAACATTATTTCAATAGCAAAATTGATTAAATTTTTAATTAGTCATAGTTTTAAATCATTATTGCAATTAAAATTAATTTTTTACTCAAATTTAAATTTTCGTTATTAAGAAAATGCTGCAAATTAGTTAATCATTGATGCTTGGTTTTGAGTTTTGAGAAGTTAAAGATTATTTGAAAAAAGCATGGCATTTTTAATTCTGCCATTTTGATCAATAAATAGATTTTATAGTTAGTTTACGAATTGTTTAAACAGCTAATTACATTTCCGCTTTTAAAAATTTATAAATGAATCAATGCAAAAATTGGAATGCATCAAAAAATACATTTTAAACAATATGCGAAAAAATTTTTATAAGAATTTTATCACTAATAATATTGCTTTATACATATTTGATTCAAGCAGTATGCATAATGAATCATTTGAAAATTTGCATATTAAGTATAGCTTTGCTATGATCACTAAATATCACCAAAAAATTTCACTTCTTATAATAGTTTTCCTACTTTCCTGTTAAAGTTTTCCTACTTGTCCCTCCTTTTCATTTCTTTTCCGTTATAAGCATTCTGAAATATCACCCATTATCATTAATGAAATCACAGCTGATTATTTCAGTTTAATATGTTAACTTAAATCAATTACAAATGATCAATTGATAATAATGATCACTGTTAGACCGTCCAAAACGCGTTATTATTAAATATAATCATTTAGGATTTTAAAAGAAAAAAATTATTTATTTATTTTTGGAGAGTAACAAAATGCGCTATTTCATTTCTATGAAGAAATCTGCTAAATACAATGCTAATTATAGTGTTTATGTAAGCATTTTAATGCTTGCACAGAAATTACACAAATATACGCTAATTGTTTCTGCCAATCTTTACATTCCATCTATTATTGCTTCCATATGTTAATTTGGTAAGTGTTTTTATTTATTTGTTTATTTGCTTTGAATAAATTTCATTTTTAAATCCGAAGCAAGAAATTATTGGTAGCCAAAATTATTCTTTTCTTTATTCCGTCCAAATTCATTTAAATAGCTTGCGAACATTGTTCGATTAATGTTTGCATGCTAGTAGCACGCAATCACTGCATGCATGTGTCATGCATGAATAATTAGTTCCACTGCAAAACTGACTGTTCACTCAAAATGATGTTGCCTTTTTCATAATGCTAAATTGCGATAAAATATTGTGATAAATGCTAATTTATGCATATGGTAATTTTCTCTCGTTTTATGCAAATTTATAAGATAAATGATAGAATTAAGCTTAAACTTAGCAACTTTTTAGTGATATCGATCAATTTGATTCATATTTCAACCATACTTTCACAGTGTTTTAAGCAATTCTAATTGATGTTACAACGAAATTCTCAACGACGCCTCGTAATCAGCAATACGATTTGCACTCGATCGATTAGAAATTTTTACATGCAATTTGGATCTAACAGAAAACTTCGCCAACTATTTTTGGTTTCATTATTTTTAACATCTTTAATGACTTTGTGCTGCATAATACATTTCGGTCATGTATCATTTTATGATAAACTATCAAAAAGTGTAAAATTAAATACTGTAACATCTCAAAACAGAACCGGAATTTCGGGTAAAGGGAAGCAAAATGTAATGATGAAAGCTTATCAGATACTGTATCAAATTCAAATATTCATTAAGCAGATTTTAAATTTTGCACAAGAAACGTTTTCATCATTAAGATGGGATTTGTTTATGAAGTCGGAATTTCAAAAGATTCCATCAATGATGAATTACACAGAAGATGTGACAGATGATACCTTATTTATCTATAAAGCATTTTTGGACTTACGCCGAAAAGAACCGTTAATACGAATTCTGGCATTCAGTCAGTGTCGCGATATTAATGTAATCCTTCATTATGGCTTACAATGTATATCAGCAAAAGATGTCACAATAGAATATGATTGCCCGTGGAAATGGGTACCCGAATGTAAATGGTTTTCCTTTATGCTCATTTTCAATATGAGAAATAGCAATTTCTCTATCAATACAGTAAGTATTTTACAATATGGAATTGTATTTTCATAATGTACTCTATTTTTTAATTTTTTCTTTTGCGCTTCTGTAATCTTAATTTTTATTCTTTTTTTAAATTTTTTTATTAAATTTTTTAAAAATGTTATTAAATTTTGTAAACACATCAAATAAATTATATTTGGAAATATTTGAAAATCTTTATGTTAAGATTTATGTCAAAATTAAATTAGATTATCATTCATCTATTTATTCTGTTGTAAATGAATTTTGCACCTAGTCTATTACTTTTTTCTAAATAATTTGGACTTATAAAATAAATTACTTTTGGAAATATTTTGAGTGAAAATGAGTAAGAATTTCTTCTTCTTTTGCATTATATTTATATTGGATATAAGATTTGGCGCAAAATGTTCTTTGATGTTAGAAATGCAACGAATATTGTGGTATGCTTAGAATAAAAAAATAATAAATGCAGCAAATGATAAAGAAAATTGAGTATTAAAAGTATTTTTCTGCTAAAAAATTTAGAAAGAAATATTGGTAAGTGAAAGAAATCGAATGGTTGCTATCCCGTTGCAATTGCTCCCGCGGAAATACCAAGATACTTTGCACGTTTGTGTGCCACCTCTATACTGGTACTGGAATTATGTTGCATTCATACAATTCATTGAGGTATGCAATTTCTATGTTTCATTTAGTTAGGATAAAAAATTTGTTCTGTCTTAGAATTTGATGTTGCAAATTTTGAACCAAACTAAAATATTAGTTTATTGGTTTAACCAAATTTTATTTTAAGTTCTAAAATCTTTCTTCTGTCCCATTTCTTCTTTTTGATCTAATAAAAACATTTAGGCGTTTTTCATTTGGATGTATCAGATTAATGCATTAATTCAACGAAAAGAAAATTGTAATACATATGTACAAAATTGTAGTCCAAATATTTAAAAAAGTGTAGTTGTTTCAATAGCAATTTCAATATAATTTCAATAGCAACTTCATTTTAAGATTTGGAGAAAGCAAGGTGCTACAATGTTTTACATTTATTACGTATCAGTCAATAGACATATGATGGATATTTTGAAAATCTATGAAAAAGTGGTAAATTAATTCAACGAAAAGAAAATTGTAGTACATATGTACAAAATTGTAGTCCAAATATTTAAAAAAAGTGTAGTTGTTTCAATAGCAATTTCAATACCAATTTCAATAAATTATAGGAATAAGGCGAGAAAAATTGATTCTGGTCGAAATGTTTGATTTTATTTTGAGAATATCACTTTGCAAATTGATACTAATGAACGTTGCAGAGCATTTCATTTAATTTAATTTTAATAAAAGTTAATTAGATTGTTGCCGCATTTTCGTGATTTATCTGAAGACTCTTTCTCGGCTGTTTTGCTAATTTTTTATTGCAGCAGTACAAATTCATTCAATTTTCATTCTCTATTTCCTCCACTTATACTTTTGCAGGGAATTATTCGGTTAATTCATTGGCAAATGTTGCCACGGTCAAAACTGATTGACCCAAATCGATGGATTTACCGTTTTGGTCATACGCTTAGCATGAATGATTGTTTGCATAGTTCATTCGCTAAATATGTTGCATTGGTCGACATCGATGAATTTATTATTCCAAAGTATGTGTAATTAGCAATTAGCTTTCCTGGTCGTTTTCTTCCAAATTATAAGTTATTGTTAAAATAAATTTTGGTATTTTCACATTATTTATTGTTCTGTTATTCCTTCATTCTTCTATAAGAATACTAGAATTGGAATTTTTTATTTCTCTCAACTTTGTTTTAAATTTTAGTTCTGGAACGTTACTGCCATTTTTACGCAAAATGCATAATTTAAATGATACAGCTGGAAGTTTCGTATTCGAGCATGCTCGAGTACGATTTCAGGGCTGGATTCTATTTAAATCACAACGAAAATTTGATTTTGCTTGGCTAAAAAATGCTGAATTTCAAATTCAAGAAGGCCCATCAAAAACGATTTTCATGCCTGAACGTGTGCAAATTTTAGTAACCCATAAAGTGCGCGAATTTTTCAAACCATATAAGTCATTCAAAGTATGTTCGCACTGCTTACTTACCCCTCGATTTTTTTCGACTTTGAGCTTCCTGTAAGAAATTAATTTTAGATGACATTAAAAACATGAAAATTGTTTGAAAGATTTACAAATATGTGCAAATACGATACTAATACATTTTTGTTTATCATTTTAATCGTTCTTTATTCTCAGCAATCGGAACGAAAACTTTCGCTTTTGGCCTTTTTACCTGTTTTATGCAATGGCTTTCAGATAAATAGCAATGACGGGTTATTATATCATGCACGTTCTAATTGGATTTTCACAAGTCTGAACGATTCCATTTTTCATCCAACGGATATTTTCCGCAAATACATTACTGATCTAAACAATCAGTATCAAAAAATGATAGCACAAGTACTTTGGCAAGATTGGAATCTTGTTCCTTTCTGGAAAATTCTTTCTAAGAAAATTGAGAAATGTACTTCCAAGTAAGTTCTCCAGTTTTAAATCCTTATTGGCAATATTAATAAATTATAGTAATAAATATGCATTTATTGTTTCATACATCCATTCTTTTTTTTTTTGATTAATAAAATTTCGTTCTCATTTTATAGATGGCGCATGTATGGTTGTAAAGCTCCATATCATCTATGTTGGAAAGCGCTAAATGATGAAGACGAATGGATTTTCAGTCATATCAATGTTAAAAGTGATTACATTTTACTATAGATTTACTAATTGAAATGATTTTGCTCTACTTTATCATTAAATCAGATAGAAACTATTGTGTTGGTCAAATTGAATTACTGAAAAACTACAGTGTCTTCCTTATTCTTTCTTTCTTTCTCATATGATACATATTTCAACACTTTTTTTTCTCAACAAATTTATCTATGAATCATTGTTTCACGTTACCTCAATCTCATGCCACGTTAACTAATTATCAAAACATCGTTGAAATTTTTATAAATGGAAAAAAAAACTTTTGATTGAAAAGTGCCATAGTGTTAATAATTTCTAAACTTCCTAAGAATCCAAAACACAGTTTTTGAAAGAATTTAAAGTTGAGAAAAAAAAAATTAATATAAAACAATTTTATATACAGAAGTTTACAATCAAAAAATATTTACTTATTAAGAGATATGAGATATTCATTTTACCAAGTGTTATTTTTGTCCAGTTTAGTTATTATAATCTGAAGAAAAATGTATGAAATTTTAATAAATATCGCAACTGACCGAATATTTTTTGAAAAATTAGCATTTGCAAAAACTTGATGGTCTGGAATTCCAGGAAAACTTTCGTTTCACTAGTGAAGTGGTTTATCGTGTTGATTAATGCTGATTATTTCTTCCATTTTGTAAAAAATGCGCATTTTTTTCCACATAGAGTTACAAGAGCTCTAAACACTAATATTTCATGACTGCAACAGAAATTACTGGTTCATGTCAATAAAGTGTAATTTTATTATGAGAGAGCCATGACCATGCAAGTCTTTAATGGACATAGTATGAATGTAAATTCATTTCAAGAAGCACACGAAAGGTAATAAGTCATGAAATGATAACACGCTTTGGTAGAAAACTTTTATCAGATGATTTATTATAATAGATACCTAACAAGTTTAACACAGTAATGATGAAATTTTCATTTGCTGATAGAAATGTTTGAAATCAAAAATAAAATTTGGAGTTCTATAGCAATATACAAACACCCCTTGTAAATTTGCCGAATTACTCATAAAATTCACGTATTTTTCAAAAATTTAGTAAAATTTGTTTTGTTTTTTTTTTTTTTAATTGTAGGAAAAAGTGGAATTAAATCGATACTGTATGTGGTTCGATATAATACAAATCTCGACAATAATATGTTAGCCCATTTACACACCAAGAGAAAAACATCTATGAAATTTTTTAAATTTATAAATTTGTTGAGAAGAATTTTTGTGCTTCGAACTCATAAACTAAATAAGTTAGAATGTAAGAATTGAGCAGTTATCATTATTAAACCTTGCATCTGAAATGAAATTTCATATATATTTCAATGCTACCTTTTCAGATCAAAATTGAAGTATTTAAAAATTGTGCAAGAAAATTTACAATTTTTTAAATCGATCAGGAAAAAAAAATTAACTAAGACTTCTAATAACTTATATTTTCTATTTCTTCTTCCTTCTCTTGTTATCAACATTTCAATAATAATAAATTATTAAATGTTCCTTGAATCTATCCATAACAAATATTTGCATAATTAATAATTAATAAGTTTAATTGAAAAAATTTTATGAATCAACTGATAAATTGGATGATCGACAATTCTTCACGTCTATCAATCAATAATGATTCTAATTTTTTGTTATATTTCTTTGAGCTATGATATTTTGCTTTCGGCTTAATAATTTATCTTTTTTTCCCACCAAAATATGCAACATTTAACAACTGTAATGCAATAGTCAATTAAATTTATTGGTATGAAGTTAAGGAGTCTAAAGTCAGATAAAAAATAAATTTGAAATAAGATAAATCAAAATTAATAGGCGGAAGAAGAAACAAAGAGTTAATGGTGATTTTTTTTTTTTTTAACGGTACTGATATTTACTTCCGATTCCGACAGTTCCACTTTCTATTTTTTAAAAAGCTAATATTAGTGATTTCAAATGACAAACAGCAATAAAAATTATTTGCAACTAATTGTAATTCAAACTTTTTACAAAATAAAACATTTTAATCTCATTATCACATGAATAACTTCTTCGTAACTGAAAAGTGAAATTCTAAGCAAAACTGTTAAAGATGAAACAATTTTTTTCATATATTTAATTGATGATAAAAGTAAAAGTTTTGAAATTATAATGCTACGTTTACTTTTTGGAAAAGAAAAAAGAATAAAAATTTTTCCTTTGTTTGATATTAATGATAAAATCCATGCGTTCTTTCAGAAACAGGGAAAAAAAAACAATGAATATCAAATGTGAGAAGTTAAAAAACTTCAGTAAAAAAAATCTGAGATTTATTCCATACTGTCCTCAAAATACTACAAATTATTTCGTAGCTGTTCCCAAGATGATAAATTATTTTGTGACATGTCCTCTCAAGATATGATGTAATAAAATTAATATTAAACAAAACATTCATTCCTAATTACAATGAGTCTTCTTTTTTTCATTTTTGAAAAAACAATTTCAGCATAGAATTAAAATGACACAAAAAGTTTGTGACGACACTGTTATGACTACGGTAGCACATTAACGATGTGATGAAGGAATTTTTTTTTTTTTTGAAATTTGATCATATTTTATGATCAGTGAATCAAATGATGCATTTTAATTTGAATTTTTCAGTAATACTTTTTTTTTTTTTGCTACATATAAGAAAATTTGTAAACTATTAGTAGTAGTGAGCATATACTAGAGAATGTTTACTGTTAAAATTCAATTAGAGATTTGTTTTTGTTATGTTTACTGCGGGTATTTTGTCTTATTGTTAAGTTATTTTTGTTGAGTTCATTCCGAGTATAACAATTTAATGTTATTACTAGAAATTTATATGCAAAATAAAAAATGATTATGTATGATATTATCATCAATCCAATTAGTAATGATTTTGATTATTAATTATTTGAAAAAAAAAGCTCAAATTAAATGATTTAACTAAAAAATCAGCAATTTAAATACTTTTTGTGAAAAGTAAGCAATCATAAAACTGCAAATTTTCCTCACAAATAATCGAATTTTCAACTAAATTAATCATTTTTACAACAGCCAAGTTTTTTGTTTGACAAGAGAAAATATAAAATAAATTTCCAATTTTTTTTCTTCTTTTTTTAAATATACCAAAAATTTTTTTTCCATAAAAATCTCTTGTAAAATGAACTTAAATTCAGAACAAAATGAAAAATCAAAAACTAGAAGCAATCAATTTAAAGTTGAAAGCATTTGTCTAATGTTTAAAATAATGCAACTACAAGCGATTTGCAGGAATCGAAACAAAGTCGAACTTTAAACAATAATTTAAATTCATAGTTCATTGATTAAAAAAAAAAAAGAAATCAAAAAAAAAAGTTCGACTAAAACCGATACAAAATTTAAAATTAATTAATTACATCTATTCATAATGCTTTTTCATATTCTCTCAGTTATTTAATTTTTCACAATCAAATCAACCCTTTCAATCATGTTAGACTCTCTTTTTAATTTAAATTAAATTAATTTAAATATCATTATTGCCCTCTGACATTGATCTCTCTCTATCCCTGAATTACTTGCATCATTCTTTTGTCTAATTTCCTTCATTTCTTCAACCGATTTTCAGGGATGGTAGATGAACTAAAATTAAATTGTTGAAAATATTTCAACTATAATAGCAGTAGACAACTTGAATTATTCAAGAATTTTTTAAATTTTTTTCCAAAATTAAACAGGAAGATATACTAAAGTTGAATTTTTAATAGCTTCATTAAATTATAAAGATGCAAAAATTTGCAATAAAAGGATTGCACTAAAATTTTTAATGTACTCAAGAAAGATTTCATTTAAATTTTTAACTTTTACCTTTTTCTTTGACGCATTCAAAATTTGAAAAAAAAAAAAAGATTGTAGCAACTTTTTTGCATCCATCAAATTGTTTTTATTTATAATTTAATTACGTCTATAAAATACGCATTTATATAAGTTGTAAAATGTGAAAAATGCTTGTTTTGCAATTATAACTCATTAAGTATACGCTAATAGTGATAATAAAATTAATAGTTTAGGATGAAATTATTTAAATCGCTTGAAAAAAAATATCATATCAGTGAAATTTGAGTTTAAATTTACCGTAATTTTCCTTTTTTCACAAATTTATGTTTTTTTTTTGCTTTTATTCTGATACTATAAGATTTTAGTATAACTTTGATAACCTTGAAATTAAAGTATAATTAGGCAATAAAATTATACGATAAAAATTTTCTTCTATAATCCCACCCTTTCGTCTCATTTCTTAATTTTGGTCTTTTAAAATAAAACTTTTATTTTTTCCTCTAAAGAATTTATGCAAACATACCAAGAAGCAATAGAAATAAAAATTTGAAAAGTGATTTGTTATGAAATTTAAAATTTGTTTTTACAACTGTAACTCATCTCAAGTGCATTACATCATTTAAGTAAATTTATTATTACGTAGTTGTTACTATCAATGTAAATAATTATTTTTCAATGTTTATTTTAAAGGAATTTTTCTTTGAAATTCATAAAATACACTTGCCACGACATAACTGAAAGTTTGATTCATTTCCGGGTAGTAATAAGTAAGTAAGTAAGTAAGTAATATCAACAGGAAACCGGAAGTGCACTAAACTAATATGTTTCCATGGTGTACAAATAAAATCTAGTTTTTTTTTCATTTACTACCTACAAAATGAATGGTTAAAGTTACAAATATTAAACAGTTTCCATGATTTCTTCACTTTTTCTTTCCGTTTAGTCAAATTTTTGCAATTTTCTTTTTTTCAAGTACCCATACTTTCCTTTTTTTTTTTTTATTTTATTGTGGAATTCAATTTAAATCAAGCAATGATAAATATGTAAAATATATAAATAAAATAAAATAAAATACAAATTAAGAAAATGTTAGCTAACAAAAAATGCTTAATAATAATGTAAGCAAGCTAATGAGACAGACAAATGGAAAGATAAAAAGAAAAGAAAAATGAAATGAAAAGATATTTTCATATTAACCATTTTAATGAAAGTTCTCTTTGACAATGAAAATTTTTATCTCTGATAAATATTCAACATTTCTTTTTTTTTTTTTCTTTTGCTTTCACAAAATTTTGAGAGTGATAATTTTAATTTCACAGTAATATTTTTTCTTTTTCATTTCAATAAAATGTGATTATAATTCTATTGTAATCCTAAAACAAGTTGTAATTTTAATTTTAAAATTACAAAACTTAAAATAATAATGCTAGAATATTGTTGAAATATAACAAGAAATTCTCCAGCCAAGATTCTTTCTGCAAGAAAAAAAAAATGTGAAAAAATGAATAAATTGCAGAAAAGATTTTCGTAAAAGCAAATTTTTTTCTCTTTTCTTTTATCCAATAAGATATATTTCCATTTTTTTTTTCGCAATTTCAAAACTTAAATTTAAGATTTGTTCATTTTAAACATCAAGAAACAGCTTTTTTTTTTAAAAATGTCCTTAAGTGCTTCATTTTTTTGATATCTTTCTGCTACTCAGTTATTGATTCTTAGTTTCACTTATCTTTTTCATACTGCCATGAATATTCCATCAGCATTTCTCTTAGTTTTATTCTTTTATCTACCTATTTTTTGTCAATTTCTTTGTTATTGAGGAATACAAAAAAAGAAGCCAAGATGAGAAGACAAAAAGCTAAGTAGTAACTTAAGCTAATTTATCTTTAGCATTTATTATATTATCATTTCAAAGTATAACTAATAGAAGTGTTTTAATTTAATTCTTTATATAATTAAAGTAATAACTTATAAACATTTGACATTTGACAATTAATACATTTCAAAAATACTTTACAACAGTTAACACATGAAATTTTCGGGATATTTTATTATATCATTAGCAGTTAACAATACATTTCTGTTTAAAAGCTCTGTCTCAAATCTTCTTCAGATATACTTTAACCCATTAATAACCTTATCAAATCATTGATTAAAGGATATTCATTTTTATCATGAAACATGATAAAAAATTTCGGCTTATTAAAAACGAAAAAACGGAGAGAGAGAGAGAGAGAGAGAGAGAAAAGGGAAAATGTTTTGTTAAGTTAAATATTCTAGCTGTATGTGTATAAAGAAAGAAAATGAACTTCAAAATTTTGAAATGAACAAAATTGAATTTGGACTTTGAAACTTCCTCTTCCTCATTTGTTCGACAGCAGTAGTTTATCTTATCTCCATGGATCATATTTACAAATTATCCTTCATTCTCTACTTTCTTACAATCTTTATCAGATATCAAACAATGAAAAGAAACTTTCTTTTATTTTCGTTTACTTTCATTTGTTTCTTTTTTTTTTTTTTTTTTGCTCTTCTTTTTATGAATGTCTAATAAAATACCATAAAGTATGCTATGAATATCGAATTAAATCACATAAAATTATATTTAAAAAAAAAAAAAAAAAAAAAAAAAAAAACTATACCGAAATTTCTTAAATAACCCTATCTTGAATTGTGATTAAAATTAATTTTGATGTTTAAAAAATAATCGAAATCATTTATAATTGCAAATTTAATTAGTTTCTGCATTGAGAGTTTGCTTTGAAGTTAATTTTTAAAACTTTTCTTCTGCATAAAATGACAAAAATGATCGATAAAATGTCAGCAGATCAAGTGTAATGCAAATAAAAGTAATCAATTAAGCTCAATAAATGTTCATTTTTAAATGAATTATAATTTTCAGCATTGGCAGAATTTAACTGAAACAGAATTAAGTAATATATAAAAACTTTTAAAAATTGTCGAAATTTCTTAAATAAATAATGATTTGAGAAATGGTTCGAATTGTTACTTGAGAATTTTCCGTCAAACATCTATACGTAAATTAATAGTGATAAAATGATAAAGTGATCAAAACCATGTCTCGAAGTTTCAGTAGTAGCAAAACAAGGATGTCGGATGCAAGTAACTTAGGTAGTATTTATTGCTATTTCTTACAAAATATCTTACATTCGAATTTCGTTTATTTCATTTTATTTTTTATTTCAAGCAGCTTTCAACTGACTCGATCGGTATCTCTGAGTTATAATTGGTTGCAACGAAGAATCACAAATATCATTCATTATTTAAAGTTACTCTGCTTTTGTCGACCACAATTACTGTTCAACATGATCAATCACGAAAAAGTTGAATCATACATTTTTATTAAACTAAAAATCACAGCATTAATTCTTCAATTACATTGCAGCAAATCAGTTTTGCAGTAATAACGATAACAAAAACACGAAAATTGGCAATAACGGATTGCTGTAAGTTAATATTATCACTGGGAAACTATGTACGCGTAAAAAAACATTCATAATAAACAAGCAAAGTAAAAAAGAATGGAACGGATGAACCGAACTGACTAGAGAAATCTATATTCAACCAGTTGAAGTCAAAAATATGGCAAGTACAATAGCTGATATATGACCTGATTTGTAACAAAATGAATTCAGAAAATTGAGATTGCTTTACTTCTAATTCTAACTCTTAGTCTATATGATTATCTAATTTAATTCCTCGAAGAGCATTAAATTTTTATACAACGTTTTAGTAGACTAAACAAATTTTTTTTAGAAAAAAAATCAAATGTTCAGCCATTTATAATTAGAATCATTATTGAACCATAAAAAATAGCTATCAACAAAGCTAAAATTCGATCATTTCAAGAGCATATTGAAGTTAAATAAAAGTGAAATGCAAAAGAAGAAGGAATTAGTTTCACAATAAAAAAGACATAATATTATTATGGCTATCATGAAAGTATAGCCTTGAGCAATAATTACATAATTGGGTGAGTGAAAACCAATGAAGTAAAGGAAGAATTAGGAGAGAAAACAAAGTCAATTCAACAATTCAGGTAGAAAATAGAAGAAAGCTAAATGCTGCATTTATACGAACTGAAAAGCTAATATGTTAACTTATCAATTTTAAGAAATTCAATACTTTCCACTTGGACAAGCGTAAATGCAACAGTTTGAACTCACTATCCCAGGAGTTGAAATAACTCCAAAACTTGTAGTAGATTATTTTCCATTGAGAATAGTTCGATTTGAATAATAAAAGACATGCATGAAAAAATAGCGTTTAAATATTAAACAAAAAACATAGTAAAATCGTCATCAAAAAATAAAATAAATCTGAAATGGAAGATCATAAGCACCAAATTATTAGAAATTTAATGTTATCATTTATTATTTTTAAGAAAATAAGAGATCAAATATTTCTGGAGAAAATTTCCATGGAAAAATAACAATTTCAATCAAATTTGTCGTTTTACATGAAAATTTCTAAACTAGAAGTATGCAAATTAAGGAAAGTCTAAGGTGATATACTTTTCACGAGCTTTGTAAGATGGATAAAGACCTTTTTTGCCTGTTCGCCTATTAGTACCTTTCGAGAAACCATCCCAATGGTTACCAGCAATTCCGATAATGTCACCAATTTTTAGGTCTATTTCATTATCATTTTCAGCACGATATGACTCAACTGCTACTTGCTCGTGAGCTGAAATTTATATTTCCCAATTTGGTTGAAATGCTGTAGCTGTGTAATAACTGAGCATTAAGCAGTTTAGCTAAACATACATTCATACAAACAAAACGGATACATATTTTTAATACTTTGTTAAATTCTTTCTTTACTCTACAACACCCTCAGTGTAATATCTTCAATTACAAATGACTTTTGACACTATAAAAAAATTACCTTGTTGGCCGCCAAAATAGTAAATATCATCCAAGGAATGAAATCGATCACCTGCGTCACCAAAACGAACCTGCATTAATTCGTAACCCATACGACAAACCTGCGAACTGAACGTGCAGACAAGATATATACATCTGAAATCAAAGCATAGATAAGATAAAAAGAGTTATCATCAGTGTGCATACGTTTTTTGAGTTGAACTACAATAATCTGATGTAGATCAACAAATCAAATCAATTTAGATCTGCAATTCAAGGTTTGTCTTGATAGAGAACAATAGCTGGCAATATCCCTTACCATTAATTTTGGGAACAACATAAATCATCCAACTAGTTCCTTTCATCTATGCAATTGCTTTATTCAATTGATACATCCTCTAGTTTCTTCATAGTACGAATATATGAAACCATAGAATTTATTAATTTGTCAAGTACAGGAATGAAAAAACTGAGTAAAATATACCTTGATAATAATTCAATATCAATCACAATACCAATTAATGATTCTACAGTGTAGCGAGAATGAACCTGAGCCATATTTGATATTTTTGGATCACCATATATCTCATAATTTGGATATCTAAAACTTTCTTTTCTTATATTTTATTTCTTAATTAATTTGAATTTGATCTTTTAATACCAAATTAATTTAATATAATACATTCACATCTAGCTTATTTCAAACAATAGCTTGATTTCTTTTCTCTGTCACATATATGCTGGATTTTTCTTTATCAACATATGAAATCTCATGTTAAAATAAGGCATCAACAATCGTCATTTTCAAGTATCACCGATTATTAACACTGCAAACAATAATCAATACAAAAACCCAGTGGATAAAATAAAGAAACCAACTTCATCAAAACTTCATCGAAAACTTCCGGATCATCAGTTGCAATATAAATTCGCCTCTTAACTGATAAGCGTGTGCGATATTCTTCGATTTGAAACCAATCTTCTGCCCATTTCATGTATTCATCCAAATCATGAAAAGATGCTTCCGTGTGAATTTTATCCGTTCGACGAATTTGCAAACCAACGATTGGTCCTAAATGAAACTGTAACTTGATATCATGAATTGACTTCAAACTTACGATTCATGATAATAAATCAGCCTCTGAGCCATAAATTTGAATTTCATTCAGTAAATAAACTAGTTCAGATAATAATCTACCTCGGCATACAGTGTGTGTACACATGAAAAAACTTTTGGTAAAGAATAACAAAAAGCTTCTGCAAATTGTACATCTTTAGGACACATACAAATAATGCTAAACAACTCACAAATCATTCCTCAAGTAATTTTCAAACCTTTATCAAATGGTACTTTCTTTACGGCTAGATCAATTTCTTTCGCAAATACTGCTGATGGACGCATTAGATATCGTATGAACTGCAAACAGATTTAATCATTGCATTCAATGAGTTCTTATCAAAATGACTCTGAAGAGACGACTTCATCAATCATACAAACTTTTTTAATTTATAATGAAATCAACTTCAACATAACTCAAAACATAACAAAAGCTCTTAACCTCAGCATTAATTCACTATCTTATCCTCAAAAAATTCAAACTTATCAAGTAAAGGAGAAATAAGTAATGAAAGCAATCTTTCAAATCAAAAGAAATCAAGACACTGAATCAGTTAATCGAATTTTTTTAAAGCATAATATTAAATAAGCAAAAATAAACCTGTGAAATGAAGAATGCTGGAGAATTAGAATGCAACTTCTGTAGTTCAGCACTGTATAATTGCGGAATAGCAAGAGGAAGATAGGCCGGTCGCTGGGAGAGTGAATCAATAATCGGTAATTTCACTATCCGTTTATCCTTGTAATGTTCACCAATACCCCAATCATCAGCGTTTTCATTCAGCTGAAAATTCAATTTTTAAAGAAGCTCTCAAAATTCCAAAAACATACTGAAATTCTAATCGAAATGAAAATTATATTTTTTCATTTGCTCACCATTTATTTCATTAATGATGTCGGTCATTAATTAAGACCACACTTTATATTTTAATTTGAAATCCCTTCTACTTACATACTAAAATAATATAAATGTAGGTAGACAGTAGAAGAAGTAAAATTCTCTTAGATCAGCAACTTTGAATACTTTCTAAATGAAAAGGATATGCAAAAACTGAGAAATCTCTTAGAAATCTTACTGTAACCTTGAAAATTTCCGAAAATGAACATTTGGTAATTGGAAGGAATGCAGCATTCCAACCGTTTGCAGCGTAATTCCACGTACGACCATCATCCGTTAAGACAAGTGTACGATTTGAGCCATATGCAACAATAAAACAGTACGTAACGTGATGCAACTGGCAACCAAAACCACATTGCTTATTCAAATCACATGTTAAAATTCTGAAACATCAAAATTAAAAGATAATACATCAAATATAAATATATAAAAAACAGAAGGTTATTTTAAAATGGAATAAATATATATGAATTCATTTTTAAAGATATGCACTTAATAGCAGTTACGAATATTTGAAAAGTTAATGCATAATTATCAAATTTGTGATAATAATGGTTTCATACGGATATTTTTGAGATATGATTTATATTTAAAAAAAATTTTTTTTTTTTCAAATCCAATAGCATATTTAATTTCGATGCGAGCTGAAAAATTAATGAACAGTAACTTCAAACCTTGCAGTTTTACAATCATCGGGATTTTGCATTTTGTTGAAATGATTTTGAAATATTGCCGAAATATTTGCAAGTGCGTTTGCTCGCCAACTTTCCGCTGAATCGATATTTTTGAAAGCTGCTGCTTGACCAAGTAAAGAAAGTAACTGCAATGATTAACTCTACAAAGAATATTCTAAAAGAAAACAAAAGAAAAACAGAAAAAAAAAAGAATTCTACTTGATTTCGTATATGATTTATAAATTTGGAATTGTTATTGTGAGTTGATATAAGTTGACTATCGAGATAGTAATATAATTCCCATATTGAATTATGCAATTCACGTCTCGCTATCTGAAAATATTTTCATCTAACCAACATGCTTTGAACAATTACAGCGAAAGTTTTCAAAAAAAAAAAAAAAAGGAAGAGAAAAGAAAAAGCAAACTAAAAACATATCGAAATGTAGAGGAATAAATAATGAAAATTAAATTTCAACTACTAACTGAATTATGCATCAAAGATTTTGTGAGTGAAATTTACATCAAAAATCCGGCAAAGTACTTACTTCATGTTTCATAGAAAAACCATTCGATTGCAAAAGATTCAAAATTTCACTCTTTCCTCTTTCAATCCGTTTCGTCCCTTTCCCAAATTTGTTGTTTATTTTTATACGCGTTGCATTACTATCATTCTGTTTCTTCATAATTAATTTCTTTCTCTTAACAATTTCAATCTTTTCATCTTTTAATAATTCTCGAAGCATTTCATTTTCATGCTTTAATTCTGCTAAATCCAACAAAGCTCGTTCATAATTCAATGCCAAAATTCGCTCCTCATTAATATCTTTTCCTGAAATATAATTAATTTGATAGTAAGAAAGAAAGAGAAAGAGAGAGAGAGAGAGAAAGGTTGTTATTCATGTGGAAAGTAAGTAAGAATTGTTTTCAAAATTTTGCAAACAAGAAATAGTCATCTGTTTTGGTGGAAATTTACAAATGGAAGAAGACTATTAGCTTTGTTTGGATAAAATTTGAAATCAACATTTTTTTTTTTTTTTTTTAACTTGTTATTTGTATTTTTTTTACAAAAATTTTTTACTCTCTGCTTATTATTTGTATGTAAATTTTTGCTTTGCTTTATCATTTCGTTCTTTTGATATAGAGTAAGCCAACCTTTTGATTGTAAACCATATAGATTGAATGAAAGATAAAAGAAAATTGATGACCAAATGACCACTGCACTAATTAAAATACAATGCATCGAACACGGACATACTGTTCGTCGCAGTTTCATCATTTTATTGTCCTCACGAATGTCTATAAATTTTTATAAATTTAATAAATCATTTTAAACTATGACTCTCTTATATACTTAAACATTTTAGCTAGAGAAAGAAATGATATGAATAAATGATTAGTCAATTATTCTAATTGTTTTTCCTATAACAGAATTCTCTGATAAATATGAAAATTGTCTGAATCTAAGTATAATACATTAACATGAAATAATATCATTGAAGTAATGGAATATAAGCCTTACAAATTATAAATTGTCATTGTTGATGAGAGTTTAATGTAAGTTTGATATCAGTTTGATTCTGCAAATTGTTCAATTTTAATTGGTTTATTTGCTTTATGCAAATTATTGAAATAAACGTGTGAAGAATTTTATAATACTTCCTCTTATACAACTTACTTTCTAGCATAGCGATGGCTAACTAGTAATGTAGGGATCTATAAAGTTTTAAAATTAAGCAATTTTATTTTCTGCAAATTAAATTATCAATATTAGATAGATTTTCCAGAATTCTCCAGAATGTTCAAGCAATGATTTTTTCATTTCTAAGTATAATACATTAACATGAAAACTTTTCACCTATTCATAATATATATGCAAATTTTGTTTAAAAAAATAAAACTTCGCAAAAAAATTTAAAAATTTTTCGGGCAAAAAAAATTAGTCATTTAAACAATGACTTTTTCCCATCACTACAACCAAATTATCTATTTATGCTAATCTAAAATCATTACCAACTTCAAATTTTCCTTTATTCTTTAATTAAAATTAATCTTTAAAAAAATTATTGGGATCAAAAAATAAAAACTAAATTAAAAAGTAAAAAAAAAAAAAAAAAAATCATCGATGTAGATTAACAAAATTAATGGTGGATATTTGGAAAAAAAAGAATAAAGGTGAAATTTAGTTCATTTTTTTTTTAAAAAAAGTTCATTGTTACTTGTCATGAATAATATAATAATAATGGACAGTCATCACTGTTCATTATTATTATATTCATCACTGTGTTCATTACGCTTTTGATATGAGAATAGAGAAAGAGGATTAAATATTAATAGCAACATATTATAAACATATTTATTTTGCAAAATTTGAAATAATTCAAAACAGATTGAATCCTTCCCTTTTTTAGTTATTATTTATATATTTATTTATTTTTTTTTTTTTGAAGTTTAAAAAAAGGAAATATGATAGTATGAACCTTTCTTTTTCGCCTTTCCACTATCATTTCAAAAGATATGAATTATGCAAACATAAAATTTCAATACATTTAAATTTAAATTAACAGCTTCATTATTTATTTAAAGGAATTACCCAAACTTAAAAATATTCTTTAAGATGAAAATTCTTGGTTCTTCACCTTAAAATGATTATGATAAAATTATGATTATTATTATTATTATTATACTATATCTGTTTGCTATTCTTTTCTTTTTTTTTTTTAGTTAGCAATATTTCTTTTCTAAAATTTAACATTAATAACGTACAAGGAAGAAAAATTCGATAAATGAACATTTGAAATGCTAATAGTTTGCAATATGAATGTTATGAAGCGATACTCTTTGCTAAATATAAATAAAATATTATACCAAAGCTATAGGCAAATATTATACAATATGTACTTATATACATATTGTACCATATGTCACACATTTAAATAATCAAATGTCTCTTTTATATGCTAATGTTTGCATAACCAAAGATTTTAAAATATTTTTCGTTTTCGTTCTTTCATTGCAATTTCTCGGAAAAAAAGGAAACTCAAGAATGAATTTGTTGATTGATGAGACATCTGAGGATTACTAGCATCTTTCTATATCAGTCAGACTTGCACTGCAGTATAATTATAGTCATTTTTTTATTGACATTTTCCATTCTTATGCATTTCATGGCTAATAAACAAATTAGCCATAAAGCATTGAAAAGATTAGCAATTACAGTAATTAAATATTAATTAAATAATTATCAGTTGTTTATTGGCAGAAATTTGCATATCATCAAGTTATTAATAAAAACATTAATAAGTGATGATGCTGACGGTAAGAGGTGAAAGTTTATGCAATTATGTCATCAATACAGGTGATAATTTAAATATGATCTGAGGATGATGAATAAATGAGAGAGATGAGAGGATAGTTTTATATTCATTTTGATTTGAATAAGTTAATGAAATAATTTAAAAAAAAAAAAAAAGATGAGAAATGACAAAGTGTGAAATGAAGGAATAATCAGTTGCGATTAAATTTGATCTCAACCTAATATCAACAATTAATATATTTTGTTAATTGGAAATGATAATGACACAAACAAGTTGCTAAGAGAAAATTAACTAATTAAGCAAATTTTACTGCACATATTTTTAAGCTTCAGATTTTATACTTTTTCAGATTTTTATCAAATATAAACTGGACTTAATTTTTAATTCATTTAAACTTAAAAAGTTTATTTGTTTAATTCTTCTATGGTCATCTGATAATTGTTAGAATATGATCAGTTTTTAGACAAAAACAAAAAGTTATTAGTGCCAACAGTCTAATTATTTTCTTCAATTTCAATTTTAAAATGATAATTTTTTATTGTCATTCTTAAAAAAATGATTTAGAAAAAACTTCAATTTAATTCGATTTCAATCTTTGTTTGAAATAAATTGAAATAAAGTTAGATCTGAAATAGTTATGTTTATTATAATTTAAAACGATAACACAAATGTTTTGGAATTTTTTGTGCAACTGATAAAGCATTGCAATGAGTAATTAGTAAATAGCCTATCAATTACATTTGATTTGATTTGTGTACTTTGTATTATTTTCTTAAAAGACCTCTTCTCGACAGGTCAATTGTTGAAGTGATCAGTAAATACTTATAAATAAACATCATGATTTCATGAAAAACTGATAATGAAAATGCCAGAATAACATTAATAATTGTTACCATATCAACACTTATCTATCAAAAAAAAAACTATCCGTCATTCTTTACAGCACCTGCATTATTATCAACATTTATCAAGATGACTGATAATGATATTGTTGAAATAATCTTAACATTATTATCATATCAAATTATATGGCTCATTGTCAATTAGTTCATGACATTGAATAGTGTATTTCTTGTCCACAGCTGTTGCAAAATTAAAATAAGCAAGCGGTTACTATGAAAGATAGATCAGATGATTTATTACTTCCTTACTTTTTTTTTTTTACTAATTGCATAGAATCAAGTTGGAAATCAATGAGACTATGCCATTTGTTGTGGTAATTAAATAAATGAAGAAGGATAACCGTTTAAACGATCATCTCACATTTATCTTTGTTTGCATTCATTGCATAATTAGTCATAGCGCCATTTTATCACTTTTTTTTTTAAAAAAAACTGATCTAACTAGAATATTTTATGTAAGCAAAAATCTGCTCATAGTTATGTCTTAAATGTAAAATCTTCATATCATCAATTTAAGGTCTAACTATTCTTTATAATTACCATCAGAATACTTTGCTTCTTTTAACTGTGAAATTCATGCGAAGGCCAAAGTGCGACTAGTTGCAATCGAAGGTACAAAATTACACTTATTTTTTTGTGTAGTAATGATTATACCTAAAGATAGAAGTACCAAACATTGAGACTTATTGCAGTATCACTTTGACTACGTAGTAATCACCTTTTGATTACTTTGATCACATAGTAGTAAACAAATATCTAAGTATCAAATATCTAATTCATTTTGTCTCTATGCCTACACACATTTATGAAGCCAACAAATTATTCGTTGACGAATACAGGAAAATGATGTGACAAATTCCTTCATTTAAAAGTTAAAAGAATATCTAAATCTTACCAGAGTTATGCTATATCTTTTTGTTTGTAATCCAGTATAAAAATATAAGCAAATTGAAATAACTTATCACTAAGTCATATATATAACGGAAAATAAGTCATATAACGTAGCCAAATTGCAGGATTATGTCAGTTGCAATCAACAAAAGCTAACATTGACATTTAATAACAACAAGTTAAGAGATTAACGCTTAAATTGTAAACAAAGGAGGGGAGAGAGGGACAAAGTTGATGAAATTTTTTAATTTTTTAACGAAAATAGCACAAAAACAGATTGACATTATGATAGGAATATGATAAAGAGATACATACAAAAGCTGGTCGGTGGTATAGCAACAGCAGTACTAGTTGTAGTAGCAGCTAATGTTCACAGTTGTGGTAGGGAAAAGCGGGCGGGTAGGTAGCTTGGTGAGCTCTGCGGGCAACCCATATTGATGTTAAATGTTGACGAAGATGATGGTAATGATGATTGTGGCGATAGTGATAGTGGTGATAGTGATGATGACGATGATATGAACAGGGAACAACCAGCTGTTCCTTCCTGCCTTAACATTTTCCACTCAACTAGCGAGGATCGAAAGCGAGGACTGTAATATCACAATAATTCTACTCTCAAATGTATGTCTGCTAGTGGAGAAAACGAAGAAACAATTTATTTCTCATTATTAACAAAAAAATTTCATTCCATTTATAAAATTCATATGAAACACACACGTAAGATGATTTATATTAACGTTACGTGAAAAAAAAAAACACTTCAATATTAGTGTAATAATGGAAATGACAAGCCTAAAGCATAATATAATAAACATTTAATTGTGATGCTATTGGAAGAAAAAAAAAAAAGCAATCATTAAAAATTATTCATTCATAAAAAATTTAATGTAAAACATCTTTTTATTTCTCATAAATAATATCATTTCAGGTTAAATTTTTGCAAAATATTAACAACTCAAATGGATGAGTTCATGCACTGTTTTCTTTTTTTTTTTTTTTTAAGCTTGAAAATTTAAAATTTTATTACTGGAAAATAGGTTCAAGAATTGTGGAAACATAAAGAAAATTTATAAAATACAAAAATATTCTCTAATTTATGATCAAATTTGAGTTAAAAGATTTATGCACATAGTGAGGTTATACTGATGTATGTATGTTACGTATATAGCTAAACATAAAATTGAAAGAAACGATGGAATGCAGTTGGATGTAGTGTAAATAGCATATAAAATTCTTTCAAATGATTTTTTAGCTTTTTATCATTTTAAAGTTATTTGTTTAATGCCTGCAGTGATTTTGATAAAAATTAACTATTGTATGCCTGAAGTTGGGTACACCTGGCTGAAATTTGAAATAAATCATTTAGAGATAAAAAAAAAAAAAAAATGGCTATGTATTTAACGTACACAGCTATCTCAGTGACAGATTTAGGATATATAAAATTTGATTTCATTCCACAAATATACAATGCAAATAGATTTCATGAGAATTGAAAAGAAAGAAAAATTTTAAAACCAAACCCTATTTATCGCCGTTTCACTCTCTGTCATTAGCAAGAAGGACGATAACAGCTTGTGTTGTGCCAAGCGAAATTGGATAATGTTGTTTTAAACGTGCTGGCAATTTCAGCATGTTATTTAACGATGGCAGATGCATAGCTGAGATCAATAGTATTGCTGTGGAAATATAACTATTACTGCTATTACTACAGCTGCAAATGATATGACTGTTTGGTTGAATAATATTAATTAAACAAGCTTGCTTAATTTTCATAAATTCATAATGAGGATACTTATACAAAATAATAATTATAATTGCAATTTACATTCACATATGTTATTTAATATGTAAACTAAACTAAAAGATAAGACACAAATTGGAGTTATTATATTTCGTATGTTTTCACAACTTTTACATTTACTGTTTTATTTTAATTTAATTAATATATCTAATATTGTATGAGCTGAGACGTAAAATGGTTTTCTGCATTTTTTAAAGAAAGAATTAATACTTTTTATGGATAGATGGAAGAATAAATCGCTAGTCAAACAAAAATTTCACTCATAATTCCCATCCCAAGTGAGTCTCTTCTTTGTCAACTAACCAACTATAAAGCATGATTGATTTTTGTCTCAACAAACAAATTCCCTTCATATCGCCTTAAACAGCAAGTAATCAATAAAATAATAAATTAAAAAAGTTAGAAATATAGATTGTTTTCAGTAAAAAAGGGCAATTCAGATTGAATCTACATAACTTAAAGCAAATTTTGGCTCCAACAAATCATTCATTATTTTATTTTTCGTTCAGTTGAACACTTCTCTTACACTATGCAGTTAAAGAATTACGAATAAGTGTTGATGTCCCGTTCGACTCATATCGATCTCGATATGTGGTAATGGCCAAACGCAGCTAAATAAGCTTACGTGCCTACTTTGGATTTGACTCCACCCATAAGTTACTCCCTAATATAATTTAAACAAACAAGAACAAAACTACTTTTCTTCTCGAATCAAGTTCAAACCAGTGATATTCTCAATAAAAAAAAAGTTGACAACTTTATCGATGTTTTTTTTTTCCACCGTTTATATACATATATTTTTTCCAATCTTTTAATTCTATTTTCATCAGTAATTATCCTCTAGGATTATGTGCACTGATTTGACAACTGATAACGTGAGCTTGACGTCTTTACGGAAACAATTTATGGAGCAGATGTACATTACACCAAGAACTGGTCCATCAAAATTATCACAGTCCGGTGATTTGAAGAAATAAATAAAAGTTTTATATTTCATGCTGTGTAGTCCATAACTATTCTACGTCGGTAATTCGAATAGGGATCATGATATCGTTAATAAGACAATTAGTTTCATTTATGAAATTTTCCTTAAATTCCTCAAAATTTGAGGAGAAAAATTGGAAAAGAAAGAAACATGCTTTGAAAAGATGTCACAAATACGTTGCAAAGTACACAAGGCAGCCTGATCTGTTCCATATTGCTGACCAAAGGGAATATCTGATATAATGTGATCAACTATTTCATATTTCAGACAATCTAAAATTTCATACTGATTATAAGAAAAAAATATATACTAACATGAAAATATTTTGAATTTGAAAACCTATAATAAGTGAAAAGGAGTTTTATATTCGCAGTAGTTTACTGAGAATAGTAAGTATTAAGGAAATGATTTAGAAAATACCGCATCAAGGGGGTACATATTTTAGAAAGCATTGATTGAACTATCTGAACATGGCCGAACGTTGACCACTTAATGGTGAACGTTTTAAGCCATCAATAAATCTTGAAATGAGACAGATTAAGCAGACATTCTAACTAATGTACAGCCATGGATAAATCATTGGTAAGAAAAAAATAGTAAAAAAGAAAAAACAATTTCACCATTAAATAAATTCATGCAAAGTAGGTCGATTGATGGTTCTACATTGTCATTTTTTCGCAAATAATCCACATTTCGCAGTGATTGTTGTAAAGCATCCCAAGAGAAATCAATACCCAAAAGAAAAACCTAAAAGTACAAAATTCCAAAAATCAACAATATGATTTAAAAAATAATGGAAAATCTATATAAAAAATGGGATAAAAGATGAGAAAGTTGTCTTTTGTTCTTAATGATTAGAGCAAGACTAGTGATATGGAGCAAACTAAGAGACTTAATTTTTCAAAGACAAAAAATGAATTCAGAAATTCCTCTCTTATGAATGGTTTTAATTAGCAAAACTTCCCATGAAATCATTTGTATTTCTGGAAGAATTGCACTTCAAAATGACTAACTGAATAACACAATTTCTTAATTTACCTTTCTTTTAAAGAAAAAGTGAGAAAATAATTTTCCTTATCCTGAAAATCGTGTGCAATTTGCAATAAGATAGAAGAAGAACCACAGGTCAGGTCAACAACAATGTCACCATCTTGAATGTTCGCCATTGATAACATTGCATCCACAACAGTTGAACGTAGTGAATTGTTCAGCAAATAATGTCGCTTCGATAAACGTTCTCTGCAATTTAAAGAGTAATGTAATGAAAATCTCGAATTACATACTGTCCTTAGTGCTAAAATATGCAAATAAAAGAAACTTGTGTGAAGTTTCATGTAGTATTGATGCTAAAAACATTCTTTCAAAATGAAGTAAGAAAATATTTTGAAATGAAACGCATTATATTTAAAATTGTTAAAATATGCATTAAAGTAGTTTGAAACTGGAATTTTTTCTTTTTCATCCTACTCTCTAAAAAAAGAAAAACATTCAGTTATCATACTAACCGAGTGATTGGTATACCAATGAAGATGCATTTTTCCGACACATGTATGCAAATTTCAATAGCAGTAAAATGAACTGAACTATTGAAACCAGACATCTGTTTAATATGACGAGCGATACTCGTAGAAAGCTTCTGTAGAATTAAAGTTAAAATGTCACATTAATTCGTATGAACTATAAAATATTTAGCTTAACAAGTGGTATAAATAATTTTTTCTACATGTTAGCATAAGATAAATTTGGTATTAAAGAATGAAAATTAAAGAATGAAATGGATAATTTCATTCTTTGAAAAAGAAAAATGAGAGAGACAGTAAAATGTGTTATGGACAAAGAATCCCAACTTGTTTTATCATAGATCCAATACAGCTCTAATTTTACGAATAATAGTTGAAAGTGACTGATAAAAAAGAATAAAATTCTAATAATCAAATTTAAGACAAAAAATTTCTATAAACATCTATTTCCTAGTAGAATACCTCAATATCAATTTTTCGACGCCATTTTCCAGTTGCTTTGAGTGATACACGAAAAGTTCTATTCTGTATTGGCTCTCCATAAGAAAACAAACAATTGAAAGCTGTTTCACAAGTGGAATTTAATAAGGAATTTCTATCACACAAACTGAATAGCTTATCGAACAGTTCTTAAAAATAGAGAAATTATGAAGTATTCAAAATTATACATAATTATAAACATGAATTACTCTTATTTAGGAAAATATCCACTACATATATATTTCTAATGATAACACAGTAAAATAATGAAAGATTATGTTATTTACTTACGTCGTTTGTTCCAGCTGCAATCGATTATTTCATAAGCTGCTACCAAGAACAACCTTTCAGCACATCGTAAATTGCACAGTTTATTGGAATTGCTCGCATCAAACAGCACTTTACCTTCTACAATACTTCCATCAATCTTTACATCCTGAAAATATTGCAGTCATTTTTTTTCAAGATATTTAGAAGTCAAAAATAATTTATTGCTAGCAATATTACATTCTATTAATCTTAATCTATACTTCAATAATCATTATTATTATATTTCGTTGGTATTAACACCAGTGATATCAGAATAACAAAATAATTCGTTGGTCAGAAAAATTCGTAAGAATTCCATTTCAGTATTACGGAATGGCTTGCCGGACATGATCTAATATTAACATTTAGACATGTATACTCTCTCATTCCTGTATTACTAATTTAGATCACTGGTTTTCTGGATTATTCAGGCCAAGTTGAACCTTACACGAATCTACCTTAATCTCCATCGGAGCACTTCCTTGTCATCAGCCTCTCTCTCATCTCACTTTCAGGAAGTGCTAGTAGGGAATATTACCTGAATTTGTTCCAGTTGTTTTTTCACAAACGGTTCCATACCTCGACCTACTGTAACACAATATCGCATTCCAACTGCTTAGCTTTTTTCTTTTTTTTTTTACTCCACATAAAATCTGAGTCTAAAAAAAAAAAAAAAAAAACAAAAATTCTGAAATTACGAACTTGCCGAACTATCAGCCCCAAAAACTTAACAATAGAATACTCCAGAAAAAAGTTGATTTTTCTGAATTCATGAGATCAAGTTTTTTTATCACTAGTAATATCGAATAGAATAGCTAATTAGTCTTCTCAAAAACTAAAAGAAAGAAAGATAATAAAATTAATTATGTATACATAGTATGCTACGAAACATTTTCGTGCATAACGATCAGAATGCAAATAAGGCACAGTGAACTGCTAACGAAACATTTTATTCGCTGATTTCAGCAAGAATATATGGATGAAGAAACAAACGAACATGAAAACAAAAATTTCTTTGAGGTAAACCGGATCTATGTGTATGATAAATTCATAAATACCGGATATGAAAGATTTTTAACAATAAAATTTGACAAAATAATTGATGCTATGGATACTATTGCGGTACTTCTCTTTTTTACATAACAAATGAAATAAATACATTTGGTTTTTTTTTTTTTTTTTTCTTCAAAAAAAGAAAGAAAAAATGCAGATTACTTGATAGGAAAATAACAACATCGCTAAAATGATAACTTGAAAAAAATGTGCAAGGCTACGCTATATATGTTGGGTATAGCAGAAAAATGAAACAAAAATAAATTAAAAAATTTTTTTTTCTCAATTAAAACAAAAATGCATAAGAAAAAATAAACCATTCGGTTAGAAAAAAACCGGAAAACTATCAGCTATAACAAACATTACTGGACTATTAGTAAAAAGAATGAAATGATCTGTGAAATCAGAAAATGTACTGTGAAAGAAATTAGATCAAAAATTTGCCGTTAAAAACTGTAGTTTTTAGAAAAAGAAAAAATTCTGAAAAAACATAGATAATATCGTTTTTGTTTCTAAAAGTTTAAGATTTTTTCCAATGGAAGAATTTTCAAAATTATACAGCATCCAATAATAAATCAAGAATGCTCTCACCTACTGCTTATAATTTGATATTCCAATATTTTATGCTATACCCAACGAATAACAAGAATGATAATGGCAAAACTGAAGTATTCATTGAAGAAACCCAGACAAACAACTTCACTAATTAAAAAAAATGATGACAAAGAAACAAGAAACATAACTTGCATTGAAAAAATGACAAAGAAAGAAACATAACTTGCATACTACCCGGTTAAAAGAAAAGAATGAAAGAAAAACGAAGAACCGAACTTAAAATATTAAACATGCAGTGTTTAAGAACCATTCACTGATACCGAATCAAACTGGACCAGCATAAAACAGAGATGAAAAAAAAAAGTTATACATTTTTGAAGTTGTTGAATGAAAGATTTTGATGCACTTGAAAGAGAAAGATGGTACGAAAACGTGAAAAATAAGAACCCGAAAATATAAGACCAAATTGAATAAGTAAACATTTCAAAGAAAAAAAAAATACACATGTTACCTATGTCTCCAACAATTTACGAAATTAAGCTTGGGATAGAATTTTGAAGCAAGAATCTTATATGTGCACAAAATTATAGAATATTTGAACCGGTAATTGATACTAGAAATCTTTTGATTATTTTAAAACATGAAATATCTTAACACATTTTCAACACATTTTCTTTTTCTTTTTTTTTTTTGAAAGTAATAATGGTAACCAAAGGCAACCCGTGGAAAAGAGACTGACAGTGGCAAAAATTAGTAACAAAACGGCAGGAAAGCATTTTATGCGGAGGACTTAAATCGAAACAATCATTACATATTATTCTATAATAATTTTTTCTAAAATATTATTTTATAAATTATATTAAAAAACCAACCTGAATAGAAGAAACATGCCGAAAGTTTCAAGTCCTCCACAACAGCGAGTAAATGAATAATATTGAACTAAATTATGCTAACATCAAATACAAGTCTGTATATTACAAGATTTGCAATAAAAGCTCAAATTTATATTACTACAGTGATTTCAAGGATAAACTTCTGGCAATTATTGCATAGGAGCTGCAGAATTATTTCGATACAACAATCCAGCTGGACAATCGTTAGGTCGGGTACATGTTGTTGTCAGTTCTACTTCCAGCCATTGTGTTGCTGCTGTTGTTGCTCCAGTATTCATATTCTCTTGATGGCGTTGCTGATATTGCTGCTGTAATTGGCGCCACGAAGTAGCTGCAGAAAAATTTATATAGTAGCTTTGCTTTTGAGATTTCAAATGTTCAAATGATCAAATAAACTAACCAGTAAGACCGAAAGAATTTGGTTTTGAAATGAGTGAAATGCTAGAATTTGCATACATATTCGATCGATCAAATGTTATTTGCTTTGGTATTGACACATTCCCCAATAGTTTCATACTCTAAAACATCATTAAAAAAAAAAAAAAAAAATCAAGTGAAAACAATTTTAAAACTAATATTAATGAAGAATTTAAGTACATGCAAAATTTTTATTCCAGTACCAATCCTATTTTCAATCTAATCCATTGCTCTTTCTTTTCTTTCTCAGCTCATCTCTACGAACTCTTAATATTCTCCTTTTTCTTTACATTCTCAATTTTGAAAAATTTTCTCTCATACTCTTTCTTCAGCGGGCAAACTTGGCAGTGGTGCCGGATCTGATGGTATCCAATCAACAAAGTTAAATTCTGGCAAGAGACCCTGCAAGTCTGTTGATAGTTGCATTATGTCATCATGGGCCACGAATGGTGCAAACATCTGCCATTCGTCAATAGTTTCTGTCGTATCTAAAACAAATTTTATTTAAAATGAGGTAGCAGCAATAAGTGGGCAATATTCAGAAGATAATCCTTGAAGAAATTTAAAAGAATGATATTTTCACTTACCACTATCACCATTTTCTTTATTCTGAATAACTCGCTGGGTTTCTGTAATACAGTTCATCGAAGTTGTGGACAGGTTTGACTGTGTGTGGATGGAATTATTGTTGAGAGCAAGTGAAGAGGTTGTTGTAGCAGCAGTGAAATTGTTGCTAATATAAGGATCGTAAGAAGTCAAGGAACGAGTATTCTGAGCACCGTTAGTAGATAAACTGATTGGATTTCGTTCGGTTCCAGTAAGAGTTGTTGAACCATTGGTAATGTTATTTTGCGGTAGTAAATATATATCTACAATGTATAAAATTTTCTTTGCCTTAGTCATTACTTTTATATGAGCAATTTATCAAAATCTCTATCATTCATCATCCTATTTTCTATTTACATTATGAAACATTCTTTTTATTTAATTTCCAAAAAAAAAATCTCCAAACAATAAGATATGGATTTTATCAGTTTGTCTCGAAAAATGCAAGCAGTTTTTGGGATATTAACTTCATAGTTCGTTCTAAATTACTAACAAAGGTTTGCAAAAAAGGAGCAATTATCAAGCAGGTTAACTGTGAATGTTAGATGGCCACGTCACCAAATTTTTATTTTTTATTTTTTTTAGTAACCGTGTGTCTAAAATATGCTTTTTGAGGCTTACTATACGAAGAGCAGTCGAGCTAACCTATCCGATTTAATAACAGATTAGGTTATATGAGGAGAGATACCAAACTTCTATGCACTTCGAAATATTTCGCAAACAGCAAATGTTCAGTCTTATAACATCACTCTCAGGTGTGCACGTTTGAGAGAAGCGATGATTAGAGAAAGAGGTAAAGAATAAGAACTATTACCAGTTCCTGAAACCGTGGGTAACCGTGCAGCATTAATATTTGCTGTTGAAGATTCTGAAAAATCAGACTGACAGCAAAGAGTGGTGCTATCACGAGTATTTCTATTAGACGCTTCTTCGACACAATTTGTTTGTATATTATTTGTTCGTAATCGGCATCGGTCAACTTCAGTAGCAAATCGATGGAATTCTCCTCCTTCATCATCTGAAAAAAGATTTAGGAAATTCGAATGATAAATCCAACATAACATGTAAAATTGCCAATATTCTTGCAACAGATCCAAAAACTGACTTCAAGACTGTTTATAATATTACCGATCGAAAGATTCATTGTTCACAATTCATCTATTTGATAAACTTTAAGTTTGTGAAAGTTTGTAAACAAATTTCAACAAAAACTTAGTGTAAATAAAGACATGCAACGAAAGAACTGATAATGAAAATAAACAAATATGAGATTAAACAGAATGACAACTGTTTCTACCTACGACAAAAGCTCCAATGCTCTTATTTTGACGACATAGCAATTTTATTTATGCGAATTTAACAAAGACTTCAAAATTAATGTTAGACCAGTGCACAAACAGCATATCGGTATACGGTTTATAGAACAAAATCAGATGGTTACTGAAGAGTTAAAAGTGATAAAAAAAAAAAAAAAAAAAATCGAATAGTTAGAAACGAACCGTTATGTACAAGCGAAATGCTTGGAGTATTTCTATGACAAAAATCAACAGTACCCGATACTGTAATACCATTTTTTGTATTGTAATTGATAGTTTCGACTCGTGCTGCCGTATATCTTGTTGATTGACCGTTGTATTCAGAACGATCTAAAAAAAAAAATTTCTTTTAACAAAAAAAACTAAATCAAAAAATAGGTATAAAAAAGAATCTAAATCTTGGAAATCAGAAAATGTATTAGTTTTTGAACAGCACTCTGAGAAAATTTTTATGGAACGTTAAAGGAATGTTATGAAAATCTCAGGAAAATTATCCAAAAATGTATTCCTAATAAATCATAATTTAATAAAAAAAAAAAAAAAAAATGAAAACATAAAACGGGTTGGTTATAAATACTTTATCATGCTTCCTTTTTTGACATAATGCAGATATTAAATCACATCTCTTCTTCTAGTCTGGTAAGAAAAAAAAAAAAAATCCCTATAATTAATTTTAAAAACACATCCGTGCAATTTGAATATACAAATCTATGCTTTGCAATAATTGTAATATCATTATTGATGTTAAAAATGAGAGGTATAAACATTCAGCGCAAAAAAATCTTATGGAAAAAAAAGAAAAAAAGGTGAAGCATACTTTTATTACTTTCAGTTCGAAAAAGCAACGTTCCTGGGGGAGATTTGCTACGTTGTTGAGCACGAAAAAGCCATTGTAATACTTCATTATAACTGCTTCTCATTGGTTCTGTAAAAAATTTTTTGCTTAAATATGACTAATGAATAAGAAATAAAATGTAAAGTCATGAACGAGATTAACTGTCATCCTAAGAACAATAAGATCATAAGGCTAACCACTTTATTTGAAAAATTTAGAAATCTTTTCATGCATTAATTTTTAATTAATTTCCATGCATTTGTCAATAATTGATTAAACCAGTAGTACTAATACCATTAGATCAAAGAGTGCTAATATATTATAATCTATTGCAATACATATTTACTCATAATTTGTTCAGAGGTTTACAGTCTGAGATACTAAAATGAACCATCAACTAATAAATCATTTATAATTCAGTTCAATGCATTTGAATTTCTCGTTATGCTAATGATTATAAGAATCTTTATGATTTGTTCAAAACTTTATTAATTTTACTTCACTTAAGACAGTGAAAACAAAAAACTTCTAGATTCATGTTTTATTTGATCTTTTAAAGAACGGAAAAAATGAGCAATAAGACTGGAGTATCAAAGAATCATTTATGACAAAATAATTTCGCTTCGTTCTAATATTATTTGCTCTAAAAAATTTCAATTCATAAATGCGAAAAAACTACAAAAACTAAAAATAAAGAAAAGAAAGTAACATACCTGAACTTTCAGTCATTTCTTGCTTTATTGGCATTAAAGTCGAATAGCTTTTCTTTCCGTTTATGAACGAATCTCGTTCACTTTGGGTGCTAAAGATAACATGATCATTTTGATAAAGCAAATATAATGTCATGGATATTAAAGAGATTAATTGCCGTATAAATAAAAATATATCAAGTGACAAACTTATACTTAATTTTAACACTTAAATTCACACAGTAAATAATAAAAGTTTTAATTTCTATTTAAAAATTAGATTTTGATGTCTCCTAGTTATTCTGCATTCACAGTTTTATTTTATCAAATTTTCTGCATCATAATTTTGCCTCCTACGAATGTAATTCAGTTTGTGCGAGTGGATGTAACTATTAGCGACCAAAGTTTTTTAGTAAGTTATATGTCTTGGACGAATGCCTCATCTAAAATTGACAGCTGCCTCATAAATAAATAAATTTTGCCCCAAAACAAAAACTGAGGTTGCCGCAGTGGTAACTTAAGAAACTTATCACTTATTGCCGATCTAATTCAATTTGCTGCATAAAAAATATTTTTCGATTCTTAGGCTCTCATTATTTAGTTTAGTATTACTCAGATTAAAGATTAAATCTTAAATAAACTTTAGCAACAGTAGTAACTTAGGAAATTCTCTTTCGTCTTATCAGAATATTATATTTCAAGCAACAAATATATTGTGATTTTATGCCTAATTATGCCTAATTTTCACTGACAAATTCGATTTCATTTAAAAATTTTAATTGAAATAACATAGACGAGAATGCAATTAACATGATTCATGTTTAATTCTCAAGGAAAAACTATTAGCAACATTGAAAGATAAAAGCATACAGCATGAAGTATTTTATATATATTGAAAGATAAAACTTACCATAAAATTTTCGCGGGAAAACATGTAAAGATTTGAAATTTAAATACTAACCCAATTAACTGATGTACACAGATGATATATTGTCCTTTTTGTCCTTTTGCCGTATGATTAACGATAGTTGCTTCAGTCTGTACCCACAATACTGATTTATTAAGACCAATTAAACGGTAATACGGTGTCCGTGTGTGACCTTTTGTGAGCATTTCACGTATCGAAACAACCACTGCATTAAGATCGGCCGGATAAACCAAATTGTAAAACGAGGTACCCATTAAAGAACGAGCTTCATGACGCAGAATATAGTTGAAACTTAAAAGAATAGTGTATAGTTAAAACTCAAAAAAATAGTGCTGTAAAAGTGTGGTTGGCGTTTCATAAATTATTTCAGTATTAATTTTGTGGTGAATAGATTCAAATTTAATTCCTAAGGAAAAACTATTCTCTTCTACTAATAATTCATAAGATGCTCATGAATAAATAAATAAATAAAAATATTTTTATTGCTGTTATATAATTTATACAACTCAGTTATGCTGTTTGAAGATACTAAAATGCATCACTTTCTGGTAGTGTGTTGTTGAATCTACAATCTAATGAAACATGAGCTGAGGTTGCAATATTTTAAACTATAATAGTTTACATTAGCAGAAATATCAACGATAATAAATTTGTTCTAAGAAATATAACTTCATTCTTTCCAACCAATTTTAATGGTTTAATTAGTATTAACTGCGAAACTCTTAAATGTATCATAAATATATGCAAAATTATAAACCTTTCACTGACATATGAAAATTTCATATCATAGGTATGCCGTGTCATGTAGGTTCCACTTTGTACATCGGTGGTTCTTGAGGTTGTAAAAACACTACTACCCTGTCCAGCTGGTTGCGCACTAGCTTGTATGACACGAACACGTCCATTGTCCGCACACAGTGAGCGAATGTAGCAAACAACTGGCTAAGAAATTCAAATAGAACTTAAAATTTCAAATTCTTGAAACCTATGAAGACCAAAACCTTACCCATAATAGCGAAATCTTGTATCTTCCAGTAATTCACTAAAATGACCATTAATGACAGCAATTGCTTATACCATATTCATTAATTTGTGATTTCGAAATGCTTTTTTATTGCTGCATTCATCATATAGAAAAAAACATAAACGTTATAATGAAATTAGCATATTCTTTCCAAAATATGCTAATTTCATTGTTTCTATGACTGACAACCAGAAAAAATCTAAACAACCGATCAATTTAATTAAAATGAAGTTAAACCTGAAGACCTCCCCAAGACGGTTTTAACGAGCAGTTTGTCTAATAATTAATGTCAGCATTTATTACTTCGGTTAAAACTTACTTTAAATAGAGCATTTTTGAGATTTAAATTTCTTCCTCGTGGACTAATCACTGATTTCATTCGCAATGTACGGACTTGACCATTTCCACGATCGATTGCACCTCCAATATCACAGCTTATATATTCCTCGTAATCATTGGTATGAATAAATTCTTTCAATGAACGTCCCGTAAGATCAGTCTGGAAGATGTTGAACTATGCATCAACTAGAATATTTTAAACCAATAATTTAAGAAATCAGAACAAATGATATCCATATTTAGCCATTAAATGTATAGTATGTGCACGAATAATTTAGATACTTGCTCATATTCTACATTTATATCAGCACCTGAACCTAACAACCAAATTTAGCAACTTCCCCTCATCCATTCTTCATCCCGTTGAAATTATTGCATAATATTAAGTTTTTTAAAATAATTAGAATCTTGAATGTTCGTAATTTAGAAATGGAAAGAAAAAAAACGACGGACAAATTATATCAATGGTAATTAAGGATATTATTCAAGAATCTTATAATATATATTATTAGTCATAAAAAAAGTAAGAAAAACACACATTCGACATTAAAAAAATGCACCAAAGAAAAATTTAGACCAGTTATTTTACTGTGAAGAAATAATGAATGATAAATTGTGAAGAGGTAAATTTTACAAACACAACAGACAATCGTTGCACTAACAAAAATTAGAGAGAACAATTTCATAAAGTAGAAATGCTCATCTGATCACCCATCTGATAAAATATACTGAATTTTGTTAAATTCTTCATAATTTTCCCTATTATCTTTCTTTTCCTCAATAACCCTTTTAATAACCTTTCTTTTTTCTCACATTTATGATGTCGTCTTCAACATAATTTTCAATAGAAATAGTAGGCATAAATTTTTTATTTCGTTTAAATCAATCTATTTAGAAAAGCGGAAAAAAAAAAAAGAAAAACTGTGTTTGAAAAAAAGGAAAATGTAACATACTTGCGTAAGTCCGAGGTAGATGGAGACACTTTCACTAACGTATAGGATGATACCATCCAGGTCAACAATAGCCAGAAAACCATCTAAACACTCTAGCAATGTTGTTTCAGACCATAAACATCGATGTTCCTCAGTGAGATTAGTTTTCAAAACTGAAATTTATTTTTATTCCAAAAATTTGAAGATTCAAATTATTTAAATTCAAAAAAAAAACTTTTGAAGTTCCAGATAAAAACTATTTGGAATATTTACTGTCACATAAGGTATCCAACAAAGAGATCGAAATCTGAGCATCAAAATTGAAAATTAACATCCAGTAATTTCAAGGAATCTCTTTCCGGCATTTTCAAATAAAGCTAAACAATATATTGGGAAGATTTATTACTCCCACTAATTCTAACGGCTAGATTCCAATGATGTTTTTAAATAACCTGCTTGCTTACGCTGCAACTGGCGTGCATTTCAGGTTTTCATAGCTAAAGTTGAAGGAAAATGAATTTGCCTAATGTGGGCTGTTTAGTTTGAAAATTTACATAATGCAAGATATCAATAATTCTTGTTAACAAAAAAAATACATTTCGTTGCAACTTTTCGTAACCGGCAAAGAGTCAATGCAACCCGCAATATAGCAATCCGATCCACATGTGTAACTGTTGCTTCATCAACAATTGGTATCACTACTTTGAGATCCGTAAAGATATCCGCTTCCTTACCACGTCGATCACGTGCAGCAAAACGAGATGACTCACGACGTCGGTCAAGATTTCTAAAAAAAATAAAAAAAAAACTAGTATTTTCAGACACATACAATGAATGCAAAAACAAATTACCTGATAAATCCCTTCTATTTTGATTCAAAAGATTTCATTCGGACAATATTAGTATAACTTAAAGTAAAATCAATGGTGAAAACAATTTGGTGGTTGGTAATTATTATTTTTTTTTTTATCACTGAACTATGTCAATTTGAAAAGAATGAATAGAATTAGACCTGTGCAATTTATTTCTTTTTTTATATGAATTAGAATTACTTGGTTGATACAGTCATTAAAATATTAATCATTAAGAGTATAATCGCCTGACTGTCTACTTCATAATCTTAGCTAGAAGAAAACAAAGATTTGTCATTATCTTGAAATGCTGCTAGAAAAAGATTTTTGAAAAATTATAGAATGTACGAAAATTCTTAAAATATGACACAGAAGAACTAACCATCAATATGAAAAAAGATTATTAGTCAACAAAATTTATACACCGAAAGTGCACAATAAGTATGACAGAAATAGGTAGAAATGTTTATGAAATTATTAGTTTAGTATGCAAAAGCAAAGAATGCGAATGACGCAGAAAAAATGTAAAATAAGAAAAAGACAGAATGATAAGAAAAAATAATGCAGAAAAAATTGAAAGTAACTAAGAAAACATTGACAGTGTTAGAAATGAATTTTAAAGCAAAGAAAAAAGCAATAGATAACTATATCTAATAGAATAAAGTTTAAGAATCCGTAGAACTATAAACCAAACATAAATGATGTTTATTATACTTGAATGATTTAATAGCTATTATCGTGCAAATCCACGAAAATAAACATCATTTCTCAAGGTTATACAAGGTTAAAAAGACCACAGCCCTACCCTAACATAACATCGAAACATCAACTACCACCAGACAGGTACGATAATCATAAACACACCGACAGTGCAAGATTGATCATCGTCTGATAATGTACCGTATAGCTCGAGGTTTGTTAAGTGCACTTTGACATTGTAATATGTCGTTTTACACGTTTCAGAGTAACAAAAAGCGGCAAATTTGTCATTAATTTTTACCCGACAAGATAAATAGTCGGAGATTTAATCAAAAGACAATTGAAATAAGAAACTTTCATTAAATCTATATTAGTTATTTCATTTCATATTACCTCGCTTTTCCTCGTTTTCATTGTTTCTTGCTAAAAAGGCCAACTGTTTAATGATTATATAAGGAAACAAAAATCTCAAATCACTTACTGTTTTCGACTAAATTCCGTAAAAAATTCGGCATCATGTCCACTCATCATTTAGAGAGATTGTATTGATAGGATGAAGTAAATAAATAAATAAATATCTCGTTAATTTTCCTCACCAATTTCACCAAAGCCAGAAATTATATTGACAAATATCAAGTGAAATGGAGACACAATTTACATCTGAAGGTAATAAATTATATAACAGTTAAATGAGACATTTTTCTAATATTCAAACTTTGCGATAAAGTCATTTTGATATCATTGAAAAAATGAAAAACTTCCTCAAGAAAGAAACAGTATAGTTATGAATTTTAATTTAAATGAATTAAAACAAATAATACAAAATAAAGAGTAGTAAGACTAAGTTAAATTGCACCAAACTCAAATATTGAATGTGGTAAAATTTTCACATATACGAATATAATAACAAGCTATAGCGATTTTCTTTTTTTTTTTTTTTTTTTTATGAAAATATTCTTTTTATGAAATGACAACTTTAATGTCAAACTGTCCTTTCTTTTAGTAAATAAATGTATGTTAGTCACATTTAACTTGGCAAATAATATTATCAAAATTTTTTAACCTAAAAAAATATTCATTGTTATAATTTTTGGAAAAAGGAGATTTTCAATGAGTCGCAAAGATAACTCTGTTTGATCCCTCTTCATCCCATTTTTCTAGTTAACTTTATGATATATCGGTAAAATAGACAAATTAGTAAATAAATTATCTATCATAGTGAGAATATTTTACATACATAACGCTGCTAGGATTAACTAAATTTCAATTATTCAAATGTATTTCCATCGATCTGTCATGTTCATGTAGAATATTATTAAGCTTTAACTCTATCACCTAACAGATCACATTATTAGTTTTTCAGTTCTTCTTTCTTTGATAATTTTATTTATTCTGCTGCGCAGTAAAACTTATAACCCTGTAACAATCTTAATCTGAAACCAGTTTCAACTATTCTTCTCTCCCCGTTCAACCCCATTCTTGTACCTTCCATTTCACAAATATGTCCTTCGCTTCATTCTTTTACCCATCATTACGAGTTAAAAAACTTAACTTTTCACCCACCTCTACAAATGACAAAATGAGATTTAGCAATAGCATCACACTTCTAATAACATCACTTATTCTTATCAAATTGAAGCATTTTCAACTCAAAACTTCTCAGTTAATAAAGCAACAGGATTTGATATAATGTCTGCCATATTTGCAGTTAGTAAAAAGAAACCAAAAATAGAAAATTCGAAATGAAAATAATGTCTTAAAGATTCAGGAAACATGAGATTTATTATAATTTATCATCAGTTTTCATAATCAGAAATCTAAACTTGATAGATATGTTTATCTAACGAATGAATGTTTCTATCTACATAATAACATCTTATCACTTTATCTTCATTGCTGTTCAGATACAGTTAACTTTAACACTAACTGATAGATTACCTATTAGTTCAGCAATATTATTTCTATCGAAATTTTATTTAACAATTGGAATCATCTTAACAACATAATCTTAAATTATTTCGCATCCGAACTATTCAACAATTTGTAAGCATAAGTTAACAACTGTGTAAGCATAACATAAAGTTCGAATTACTTTGCTGTAATGCTAAGGAACGAACATTGCAGAAAAAAAAAAAAAAAAAAAAAAAAGAACCCATTCGAACTTGCGACTAACACATCGTGTAAAATAATTATCATATAAAATAACAGATCGTATAAAATAATTCTGTCCTGCTGATAAGATCACTTATCAGTGTCATTTGCTTTCTAAAGAAGCAGCTTATTCCCTTTTTTTTTCCTCATTATTTGTCATTTCACCCTTTTCCATCTTGCAATTTCATTTTGTTACTTATATTTAAGTAACACTTAAAGTCATTAGCAATAAATTTTTTGCAACAATTTTATAAACATAATTAATTAACTAATTAATTATGCAAATAATTAATTAATCCTATGACAGATGACAAATGTAGAAAAGCAAAAACAGCTTAATCTCATCGCTCTTCTACGATCGATCATTTTTCATAAAGTTAAATATGCAGTTAAAAGAAAGAATAAACGAATGAAATACATAATTTACCATTTTTTTTTCTACCTAATTTTTTAATCAATTTTTACAAAGATTTTCATCATTCATTTAATTATTCGTACTCAAACTGTATCTACGTGACGTGAAAATATATGAAACCTTCAACTGTAATAAAAAATTAAAGAATAAAAATTTCCATCTCTTAGTTCAACCTATTTGTCACAATAATTTTTCTATCTTTATCATAAAATATCCATCTTTTTGTTACATTCTTCACAGCACTAATTCATCTCTTATTTTCCTATCATACATCATTCAGGTAGAAGTTGTTAGCTCAATTAAATCTTCTCTCTTACTTCTTATCTTTCAATAAAAAAAGAAAAACCATAAAGATATATCGATATAGAGTAAAGCTAAGTTAAAAGTAATCATTATTCATATTTTAAATATTGCACAAAAAATCTTAACAGAAATTATAAAATATATTTCATATCAAAAATATATTTAAATTATACTTTCTAATTACTGATTAAATAATTATCATGAAATTAATCTCATCCATTATATATTCATAAATGATACAAATCAAAATAATTGATTCAAATTATCAAAAATGAAAAAAATAAATTAATTAGGGATTATGTTACACAAATAACAATTCAAAGAGAGAGAGGGGAAGAGAAAGAGAAAGAAAACATAAATTCTGAACCATAAATTATAACAAGAAAAAAGGGAAGTAAACATAATTAAGAAACCAAAAAACTTTGAAAATCCGCCTTTCCAGGGTGGCATTAATTTCACTAATCGGAATTAGTCGCATGCTGCACCCAAACCCACTGCTAAATGATCCTTTGAGGGATTTATTTCGTGTGATTCAATTTACGATGAAGTTATTTCCGCTACTCATAATTCTCTAATTATCTTCCCAACTTTCTATTTTTATTAACTCTCATCGTCTTTCTCACACCATAAATACACTCTTTTCACTTCACCTATAATTAATTATTTAATTAATTGCTATTTACAACTAATTGCAATTGCAACGCATTGCTACACTAACGTACTTTCCCGCAAAATCTTATCAATCTTTGCCACACTCCACATATACATACTATTTCCTCTTCTTCCTTACATTATAACCTATCATTTTTCATCAAACTCATCCTATTTTCATAGTTATTTTTATAGTTTCTATAAAGATTTCATTGATTTCGTCAATAATTTCAATAAATTGGAAGGGAAGATTTGGAGTAAATTTAATGTCGCATCTGGCAATAGTGAATCTACTTATCAACGAATATATAAAATATCTAATCTAAGAATATTAGATTATCAACCATCGTTATCATCACATTTCAATATCATCAATCTATCTTCACTCTATCTACAATATCATCCTATCCTTATTTCATCCTTTCATTATACCCTTATGTTACCCATACATTCATCTCATCTTTTACTTACTATTCCCTACTACTAAGTAACAGTAATCGATTATCTGCCTGAAAACTTGTTAGACTATTGTAGCCACAAATAATGCGCTTTTGACGCATCACAATAACAGTATTTATTATTTTTTCTTTTCATTTGACCGATTGCGAAGCAACTGTGAATGTATTGAAGGGATACTTCTGAGGGAGATCAATAATCAAATCGAGATAAGTTTTTGAGAATTAAAGGAAGTAAGTGCGCATTAGAAGATAACTGATAATCAAGTCAACGTGCTATTTTGTGCTTGGCGGCTGATCGATATTAAAAGTTCTCCATGGCCTAGTCCTTACTTTTGTCCACCAGGCTTTGGCTAGATCACATCGCAAGGTATTTCCTACAGGATATTTGCGTAACTTATTTGCATAATCTGGAAAGTTTGTCGAAACGATTGTGAAATTCTCGAATAAGACAGTGGAAATTTTGATAATTTGAAAATTTCGATAATAAATTTTGATAAAAATTTGAAAATTTTAATAATTTTGATAATTCCATTTTTAATTTTTGAAAAGATTTCCATGTTTTTCGGTGCTATCTTTGAAGACTTGCAATTCTTCCGGAATTGTCCCAAAATTATCACATTCTACAGATACTCATGAGAGATTCCATGAAAAAATTCTATGAATGCGTCTAAAAAATTACTTTTAAATGCTTCCTGATCAAAAAAAAAAAAAAGTTTTTAAACTGTACATTTTTTCTTTTTTAACCGGAAAAGAGAAAAAATGTTTGGGATGAAAAGTTAGATATGAAATATGTGACAAAAATGAGTCAATAAGTCATATTTAAGACTTTTTTGTTCAATGATCAGGAAAGAAAAATTCCTGTTTATTAGTGGCGTTTTTTTAAAATAATATTTCACATTAAAACATGCATTAAATTAGAATATTTCATATTAAAACAGAAATTTTGTTTTTTTTTTTTTTTTTTAGATTTTAAATAAATCAATGAATAAATGATTTTGTATAATTAACAGAGAATTCAAGAAAGCAATTAGATCTCAAATTAGATCAAAGGAAATGATATGACTAATGATAACAGTTATCAGTGAAATCTTAGTATTGATTATTCAGTATTGCATAGTATGCAGGATAAAATGATATCATAAATTTGGTTGGAAGTTGTGATGATAAATGAAATAACTGAACCTTGTTTACTATTAAATTTTATGCTTTTTTTTTGCATTAAATGAATGTTGAAAATTTCTAATCTGATTTATTGATTAGTGTCTTTAAAAGCCCATATATTATCTTTCATTATCGTAAATGAAATTGAAAAATCAACTGATTGGAACAGATCAGTTGATCGATAATTGATTTGAATCATCAAAAATCAACTGATTGGAACAGATCAGTTGATCGATAATTGATTTGAATCATCAAAAATCAACTGATTGGAACAGATCAGTTGATCGATAATTGATTTGAATCATCAAAAATCAACTGATTGGAACAGATCAGTTGATCGGTAATTGATTTGAATCATCCGATCAATGAATAAAACAGCTGATATAGCTCAT